TGAAAACCAACAAGCAACTCCATGAGCGCTAGGCGCTCATTCCGTTGCTTGTTTCTTCGCTTGCTCAAATATGTTATTATACCTTTCCCTGTAAGTCAGTACGATGGACTGTGCATCTTTCCACTCGGCAGGCTGGAGAAAATCCCTGTTGCTGATAGTTCTTTGAGTCCTTCTGTGATCCGATGAATCAGATCTTGACTYGCTTCTCAAAGAGAAATAGTGTTTCTATAGTGACCGTAGCAGCCCTTCAAAAGAAATAAAAAAAAGCATCTGAGGAACTTTGTCTCTATGACTCTGGAAGGTTTTCTTTCTGAAATTTTGAATTTAAGGCTGCAGCATGGAACTTGATTTTCCACAGCAATTGGCTGCATGTTGTGCATGCAGATTGAGTGCAGAAGGAGCATTCTGGTTACTTGCCTCTTTTTCAAGGGCGCTTCCTACCTGTGAACTACAAACTAAATCACCTTGGATGAATTGTCAATTCACCAAGGAGCATTCTTTGGTTGTCTCCCTTCTTTTTCCTTATTGGATCTTTGATTTTTTTATCAGGTTTTTAATGATGCAATAGAAGCTCTAAGGGTTTCATATAAGAAGATGAATCCCTTCTGTGTGCCTTTTGCTACTACGAATATGGGTTCTGCCATGCTTGCTATGGATCTGGTAAGATATGAAGCTAATACTACAGAAATATTAAGGGGTTAATAAATTTTGAATCCAACCTTTTAAGTGTTTCTTTAATTATGTTACTGCAGGGATGGATGGGTCCAAATTATTCAATCTCAACTGCTTGTGCAACAAGCAACTTTTGTATACTTAATGCTGCAAACCATATTATCAGAGGTGAAGCTGTAAGTGGCCAATTTCATTTCACAGACTTCATTCACTGGAGGTCTTATGCTGGAAATGCCTTTTTATTTTTTCATTTTCTTGTGTTCAATTAAAGTAAATATGATAATAATATTCTGATAGTTGCAGTTTGGGCAACTGATGTCAGTTATTGAGGGAATAATTAGAGATGAGAGGGGAAACATTGTTCTGAGATTTTCAGGACCATCGGGGTTAGAAATTCTTTAAGAGTGAGTTTTTAGAAGTTCTATAAGGACTAAAATTTGGCAGCAGTCTATACAGGAATACAAGTTGAGTGAGACTGTTAAGTTGCCGTTAACTGATTGAAAATGGGGATGATGTGCCATGGACACTGCATTTTCTTGTTAGACATGCTAGAGCTTTGGGATCTAACCTGAACTGCTCATTCAATTGGGTTCCTAGATCAACAAATAGTATGGATGACTCATTAGCTAGGTTTGGTGTATCTTGGAAAAATTTATGTTGGGGTGAGCCAGAAGTAGGGGGATCACTATAGAGAAATTAGTTTAAAAGGGAGAAAGAAGCTGACCAGCTTTATACTGTATTTTTGCTCTGTATGACAACTTGTACAGATTGAGCATTGTTCTTATTATTGTTCTTATTATTAATAAAATTCTATTTCTGTTGCATCTAAAAAAAGTTTACCTTATAAAATGAATAATTTTATTATTTGCCATGAGCCTGCAGGACATGATGCTTTGTGGTGGCTCTGATGCAGCAGTCATACCTATAGGTATCTATTATTCTTTTCTCATTCTTGATGTGTATAAGGGTTAAGCTTTGTGAAGAATAGAATCATTATTTTCTTTATGGTGGTTGTCACTGCAGGCTTGGGGGGCTTTGTTGCATGCAGAGCACTTTCACAGAGAAATAGTGATCCAACTAAAGCTTCACGCCCTTGGGACATTGTAATATAGTCAACTTCCCTTATTCTTTTCATTTCAAGACATTAGGAATTAATTATGGACACTCTTGTCGAAGACATGAATAAGTCAACTTTGAAAGATAGAGCTTTTTTGATTGGTTGTATGCCGTAAGAAATCAAGTTTGATGCAAGAGGTTTAAGTGAAAACTTATAGTAAACTTTAAGTTGTGTTCAAAACTCAGGAAAGTGATATAACTGGGCCTATCCAAAAAGAAAATAAATAAAGAAATTTTTGGTACATAAAAAATATTTTAAGAATAAATTAATATCCAAGAAGAATCTTATCTACTTCTGTGGCTTATGGATTCCATCAAATTTCTTCCACAGTTTGTGAATAATCAGTGTCATCAAGGTTGATATTCCCATAAGCCACTATCCACTTTCATCCATCCATCCGTCCATCCATATTCTTCTGGTGAAGGTATTTTATGAAAAAAATATACTTTTTTTAATCAATAACAGAATTTAAAAAAAAAGAAAAGAAATATAGCTTACAGAGGAAACAAAGGGGAGAGATAAAAACTTTTAACCCTCCCCAAGAAAGCCAAAAAAACAGTTACAACACTGCCCAAAACAAATGTTCCCTTCCCACCCCTTGTTTAGCCAGAGCATCTGCAAAGGAATTTGCAGATCTCTTCACCCAATGAAAAAAATATACTTTTTGTATGCTTAATGTGAGAAATGATTTATGGACAGGATCGTGATGGATTTGTTATGGGAGAGGGAGCTGGTGTCCTGCTTTTAGAAGAACTAGAACATGCTAAGGTACATTTTACCAAGTGTTGTTTTTATGAATAATTCATTAGACTAAGTTCCTTAAAGAAGTGTCCTTTTTGGTTATGAATATTTTCCATTTGAAAATCCTATTTCTCTCTGCAGAAAAGAGGTGCAAATATCTATGCAGAATTTCTTGGTGGAAGCTTCACTTGTGATGCTTATCATATGACTGAGCCTCATCCTGATGGTATGTAATAAATCTTATGTCAATAATTTTCTGTGTTTGAAACATTTGCTACGTTGAGAAGGGGTTGCGAAGATGCACTTCTTAAATGATGAATAAATAGGAGAGACAGGCATGGGTCCTCAAACTTCCACTCTTGTTCTCTTGACACTTCTTCCTCTTCCTCTTCTCATCTACAAATCAAATGTAAGTTCACAATAAAGCCATTCAGAGAAGACATGTGAAGATGTCTCTTACCCTTTTCCATTGGAAAAACAGGGGCTGGTGTTGTTCTTTGCATAGATAAAGCCTTAGCTCAGTCTGGGGTAGCTAGAGAAGATGTCAATTATGTAAATGCACATGCTACATCAACACAGGCTGGTGATCTCAAAGAGTACCAAGCACTTATTCGTTGCTTTGGCCAGAATCCTGAGGTAATGTGAATGCATTTTATTTCTGTTTCCTTTTCTTTCAGTTATATAATGAGTTTTCACAATCACCATATGGCATGCTTGGCTATACCTTGATTGTTGCAGCTAAGAGTAAACTCCACAAAATCAATGATTGGTCACCTACTAGGAGCTGCAGGTGCTGTTGAAGCTGTTGCAACAGTACAGGTGATCAGTTATATGGTTTTTGATATTTCATACTTAAAACTAATGAAGGTGCCCTTGTAGTTTACATCACACCAAATTCTATAAATTGTGTATTTAATTTACATGATGGACTTAATTCAATCATCAGATGCCTTTTATGAGAAATTACAATAAATTGTAGTACTAGACTTCCCATGTTATATTTTTGATAGTAAAATAAAATGAAAAATTTATTAAAGAGGAGTAAATATCTGGATAGGGTGATGAGACGGCACTCCAACCAAAAAGGCCTAATATCAAAAACATTTCAAACACTAGTACAATCAGAATATGAGCTATCTGAATACAATTCTAAAGTGGTCCAAAAGGAGGGCTCAAAAGTTCCACTATTGTACACATTCTTACATGACTCCTTAGCACCTTCAAAAAGTCTTGTATTTCTCTTCTTCAGATGCACCAAACTACAACAAACATGATGCAACTCCAAAATGTTCCTGGATGATAGGCCAAGATTGCAAGTCTCATTGGGTAGAATTGCATGCCAGCCACTTCTGAATAGGATAGGAAAAAAGCTACAAATAAGTGTAGATACATGTGATGAATAGATGACAGACATGTACCCTTTTCATTGCTGTTACACAAACAGTGTAGACAAGGTAACTGAAACCCTCTTCTTTTCAGGTGGTCCAATGTAAGTACACTGTCAATGGCAACTAGCCAGGTGAAGGCTTCCACCTACTTGTAAAATGCCAAAGCAGGTTTCTTCAAATAGCAGCAATAGAAATCAATAAAAATAGGTAGAAAAGAACCAGAATAAGAAGAAAAGAAGAAGAGAGAAAAGGAAGAAAGAAATCAGTTTGGGATAGAAGGAACCTGGGGCCTAACTGCGGCCCCAATGTCTTATAATCCTAAAAATGTTTAACCAAGAGAGTGTATGGAGTGCAACGTTACTAAGGACATGCAAAGGATATCAGGAGACGTGCTTAGTGAGAATGTCTGTACTGTCGGTCCTTTTATATGTAAAGAGGAAGAAATTGAGGAAAATGGAATACAATGATTTCAGTGGAAGATTTGTTACAACCATGATAAATCATGTTGGGGGGGTTCATGTGTGATATGTTTATGGGTGTATGCTCACAAGAGGTTCTCCAGCCATTGGATGGTCTTAATGAGGGGAGCATCTTTGCTATATGGTTTGATTTGGTATCAGTATTATATTTCTTTCCTAACCATGTTATAGGATATGTTTGCCAATAAAAGTGATAAAAACAGTGAAACCTAGGCCTCGTAATAGAGAAAAATAATTTATTTCTTCCTCTTCCCTTTTCCTTTCTGTTTGTGTCCATTACAATTTCACACTTGTCACCAGATCATTGACACATATACAACTTAAATGCATCTGTATCCTTTTCTTGGCTTAACCTGAACTGGGATACCTTCTGCAGGCTATACGGACAGGGTGGATCCATCCAAACGTTAATCTTGAAAACCCTGATAAAGGCGTGGTATGCTTTCTTCTATGGCTTATCTCTTTGTATACATTTCAAAAATGTATTGCTTTATGTTATATATATATATATATATATATAATATGTTATAATAATTATTTGTTAGCATAGGATTTAGAACATTCCTGATCACACTTAAAATCATTGTAATTTCTAATAAATAGGCAATACTATAAGAAACTATTATATTGGATTGGGTAAACATTGGAGCATGTTTGTATTGGCTATGATCTAGAATAATTCATCCTCGGGAGATGATCTTATCTGCCAGTTGGTTGGCTTTCTTTCTCTTTCTCTGGTAATCTTGGTGGTACAGGGAAAAAGGTCAATTATTTGAATAGTTAAGCCAGCTTTTGGGCTGTGGCCCATTCAATAGTTGCATGATATGACAAAAATTTGACACTGGAATGTATGAAATCAGGATACAAGTGTGCTGGTTGGCCCCAAGAAGGAACGGCTGGACGTAAAAGTAGCACTATCTAATTCATTTGGCTTTGGCGGCCATAACTCATCAATCTTGTTTGCTCCTTATAAGTAAACCTGGTGGGCAACTCCAACTTTGGCTCGAGGGTGAAGGTATGTTATCTTGGCATTCTCTTGGCTTATTTTCATTGTCCAAAATTTGAGAACAGGAACAAGCCAAGATTTGTGTATTGTAGATGGGAGTCCCCAGAGAGCTTTTCAGCTCTATTTCTCCTTGGTTGCTTTATAAACCTTTACATGATTAATGATAGGAACTACAGATTGATTACGCTCATTTTGAATTCTTAAAGAAAGAAAAGCGAATTGTAAAAAATAAAAAAGAAAATCCCTTTCAGAAATTTAACTTACTAAAGCAAGAGGTCTGGCATTCAAGTCACTTGGGATGATTTGAAGAGGCAGAATATCGTTTTGGTTCTCAGCTGTCTAATAGGTGTGTCCATCTTGACCATTTAGTTGGTGGTGCAAATTTTGGATGAATAGGTAGTCTAACGGTTTAGTTTCTCAGCAAATCCTGTTGGGTAAATGCAATCGGTTGCCCACTTGTATGGTTTTGTTTTTGCTGATGTGGCAGTTGTTTTAGATTTCTTTAGCTGTGTTTGGTTTGATAGAAAAAATAAAGAGGAACAGAAGGTTGAGAGAAAGTTTTATTTATTTTTGGGTAAAGTACAGATAGCCACCTGTACATAGGGATTATTGAAACAAAGTTGAGAGATATTTGAGAGTTATGATTTCAGAAAAACTGAGTTAAAAGGGTAGTGTAGGGTTGTAGAAATGTTTAATGGATTATTTCATGAAGTTAACTGATGAAATGTTAATAGTGGGGGCAAGGCATTGCCTATTGGAATCCACAGCGAAGGTTCAAAGTATTGATACTTGCAATAGGAAAATTTGATGTATTCAGAGTTAATTCAATCGATACCTTTTTTTTTTTAATTCTTTTTTATTTTCTGATTTGATAATCAGTGAAAATCGTTACACCAATCATTAACGTATAAAATAATAAAAATAACCAAATTCTTGTAACTTAGCGTATTGGTGACCCTGAAAACTGATGCATATGGTACAATACCCTGCGATTCAGGGAGGGGGGTTGCCACGAAACAAGGTTTGATGGGCTAAGAATTTTTCATCCGCTTCAATTTTGCATTCATTTGCCTATTTTTGGTAAGACACGAAATCATTCATTACTAGTATCAACAAAGTTATAGTTTGTTTATAACTTTAGAAAGGTCCTGTTTATTTGCACTGCATTCATTTGTTTGTAACTATGATTTGTACTTTTACCTGATATAAAATTTGTAATCTTTTTCAGGTTTGCACTCTTCAACGGTGCAAACTTTTGTATCCCAAAAATTGATGCAAAATTTGCACCATATTCCTCCTGTCTTAATTATCTCATATAAAGTGTGGATAAGGTAATATTGCATCCTACTTCACTCCCAAACAAATATCCCTCCTCTTACCTCCATTGTCTTTCATGTAAGATAATTTAAAGCAAAAATAAATAGGAATTTACACTCAACCTGTTTGCATTCAGCATTCCCATGCATTTACACTACAGTGTCAGTGTGCAAAAGAAATTTGTACTGAAAACAACAAACTGAGCATAAGCAAAGATTAGTGCGTTGCGTGGGTGATTGGATGGTGGACACTGTAAGTTCGGGTAAGCATTATAATTAAGTGCAACTGTGCAAGCATACAAGTTGTCAAGTTGAGAGGGGGTTAGGCTGGGCATATTACATATAGGCCGACCGAGGCTGCTAGTAAACCTCACGTACCAAGTCCAAGCCCCCAATCCATTCTGATCTACTTTTTCGATTCCAGACATGGGTTTGGTCGGATTAGGCTCGGATTGCAAAATTGTACAAACCAAAAGGGGATTAACAGTTGAAGTTTCGTGAATGGATTTGTGGGGATGTTGGAAAATGCGTTCGAGTGCTTTTGACGATAAATAAAACAAAAGCAAAGCATACATGCTCAATGACCAATTCAAGGATGATCGTCCGTTATACCTGTTACTTGCTGATGTTGCCACAGGGCATGATCACAGGGCACATCAGGATAGCCAGGTGGCGTGAAAGATCATGTTCATGCCCAAGGTTCAAAGTATTGATACATATCGTATTGGAGCCTTCCCGATACGCCCCTACAGGCGGTGTTTTGGGTCGGCAAGTGGTTCAGGGCGTAGACCAACTTTAAACCGGACCCTTTGAATGAGATTCGAAAAAAAATAAAAAGAGTACTGATACAGGCCGATATGCCCTACCGGCGTATCGCCCTGTATCGATACTTTCCTTGTGTTAGATTGGTTTTTTTATTTTTATTTTTTTTTTTGGGGGGGGGGGTGATTAAAAAAGCGATTGCATCGGATTGGATCGGTTAAATTGGGTTGCAACCTACATACATGCTTGACAAGTAGGTAGCAAATGGGTTGGGTTTAGGTGGTTGGCGAGGGGTTGGCCTTCAAGCTTCACTCAAGCTCACCTAGCTGACATTCCTACTTGGATCTGGATCCAATAGGCAAGATCCATATCTGATCCAGCTTAACATGGCAGTTGGCAGAAATCAGATCTCAACCATATATAATCCACAGAATGCGTTAATTGAGTTGGGTTTGGTTATAAATCTGACACATTTTTAAATTTACTAATTCCATATTTCATATAAAAATTTAGCGTCACCATCATCATCATAATGAAGTGAAGACTTATAATACGAAATATTGAGATTTATAAGCAGTTACAATCTAGTACTTGAAGCCATAATAGCATACCAGCAGCTAATCTAATATATAAGATATTAGGTCTAATAAAGACATTCAGATCCAAACATGTTTTACAGCCAAACCATATATGGTTCATATCCACTCTAGGTTGGGACAAGATTCACAAAATCCCAGTGTTTTTGAACCATCATTGACCCAGACTGTTGGACTGTTCGGCTTGGGAATTATCTAGACAACCATTTTACCCTTAAAATGTTCTTTGGCCATTGGTCAGTTTGCTGACCCAGGTGGTCAAACTGGTGATACGTACAACCTGGATATGGTTTTGATAATTTTTTTTTTTAAATTAAAACAGGTCATCCATTGAAACCACTAACCCAAAATCCAATGGCCAAAGCGGTTTCAATTCCGAGTCATTGCAAATTCTAACTCATTTTAAAATGGGTCATTTAATAGCCCAAATCCAATACGGCTAATTGGCCAACCCGCTCAATCACATACCCCAACGTCAAACTGATGTTCCCGATGCATCTATGCAGGATCAAATTTCATTTTTGTACAAAATGAACACCAAGCATACATTTTTCCACTATGATGTGGCTAACTGTGAACATGCAATACAATAAAAAAAAAAAAAAAAGAAAACAAAAACACTGGTGCCAAACATCTTCTGAATCAGAATCGACAAGCTTCCAAAATCTCCTAACAAAGACTGTCGGCAGGGCTGATGCATTTTGTATTTTGAACTTTTAAGCATGTTTTGTAGTTATAATAACCCCCAGCATAAAACGAACTCGAGAGTGGGACACGACACCACACCACATGTGGCTTGTGGGGCCCCACCATTCTTAAGTCTTAACATTGCATTGCGAATTTGCGATTGAATGAATGTCGGTGCGAGGGTCAGGGACTCGGGGCCTGCAACTGCAACATCAATTCTTTGGATTGATCGATGCCAAGACAAAACATAATGGTACGTTTTGCTACACTTGATCATTCATTCATAAAAATCATAAATCAAAAATCAAAACCAAACATTCATGATTCCATACATCCCTTTTTTTATTAGTTCAGGCCTCCAGGGGGGTACGCCGACTACGATACCGGAAAAACTTATAACAACTCCGTCTCCGTACACGTACAATTGTATATATATATATATATATCTGCCTATATATCACACATAGAATTGAAATCAAACCCGTCCATTTTCAAGGATCAACGACAGCCCTTGCAGGGGTCTCGTCGAGAAGATTAATAAAATAGAGTGCATTACTCGTAATCCTGGCTACATTGTTGATCTTCTGCTTCACATCGGATTTCACCTTCCCATCAACGTTCTGAAATCCATCAAGACACGTGTCTTCATTTGTCAAAGCAGCGCTGACCCACGTCTGGGCGTTACTCATCTGCTCCCGGAATGTTCCGCGGCGAAGGTGCCGAAGCTCTGAAAGCGTTTGCTGCAACTCGTCAACCGAGTCGGATAACTGCTCGACGCAGTCACTCACTGCACCTTGCTGCCTTTTGCTCCCATTGTGAAGCTTTTGGAGTCGGGCGAGATACAAGGAAACGCTTCGAGCACGACCGAGGCTGATGGTTACGGCGGCTTGGGCGAGATCATTGGGGGTGTTAGCGGAGCCAGCGTAGGAGGAGAGAGTTCGAAGGCAGAGGTTTGGGTAACTGGCATGGATGCATGATGAACGGACGAGATCTTGTTTAGCACCGGATTTTGTCGTTGCAGCCCCGTAAAATGTCGCAGAGGAGAAACAGAGGAAGAAAACCAGAAATGTAATGAAAGAGAAGAATGGAAACACCATTGCTACTGGCTACTGGTTTTTAGAGGAGAAAGAAAAACTAACTGAACGATCGAGTGGAGATAGGCGACTGCTGAGTGCTGATTCGAAAAGAGGAGAGGAGACGTCTCCAACTCTTTCAAGTTTCAAGTTTGAAGCAGGGGGACCGGAGTGAAGTGAAGACTGAAGAGCATACTCGTACTGATTACTGCATAGCTAGGGTTGGTCGTCACTCGTCTTATTATTATATATATCAACCCAGTGGCCACTGGCCAGTCCCAACGTACCACGCAAGTGCGTAGAGGATAAGCAATACGCAATTACAGAACTGCCATTCTACTTCTACTGGTTGATTTGTTGGATTATTTCGGGCTTATAGTCGGGTCGTTCAGAGTTCAGTCTTCAGTGTGAGTAGGAGTGTACTGTACACGACCAACGAATCTTTCACGTGGCAACAGAGTTCGGGTTACTGCTGCTATACTGCTATTCTGCTATTCTGCTAATGTGGGCCACGTAATCCAACACGTGACCAAACAATTCTGCTAATAGGAAAACCCCTTTTCCTATTGGGTCAAGTACAGCGAGTCGCCCATGGTCTGATGTGGCTAAATTTGACAACTTTTGGAGGTTCAAACGTCGTTATCTTGTGAACACGTGTTTAACAGGGACGAGGAACTTATTCAGACTTGAGTATCAGTGTACTTGGTACTTACCGAGAGTTCGTACCAGAATCCAGATCCGGTTTCGTGTTAATTAAAGGGAAAATTCTACTTTCCCTCAACTTTGGGGTGGTGTTGAAGTTAGTATTCGAACTATCAAATGTATCACTGCAATATTCAAACTTTCAAAAAGTGTTAATTTAAACGGGCCTGAATGCAAAACCTAGGCCCAATACCAATATTATAAGGATGGGATAAAAATAATCACCACTACCAGTGTGGTTCTGATTCAGAATCTGAAACGTTTTGCTCAGTCTTCATCTCTGCAATTTTGCTCTTCCCTTGGAAGAAATAATTGCTTTTTATATGTCCTAAATTATTGATAGTTACTTCTTTTTATATGATCCTGGCAACACCAATCAAAATTATACTTTACTCCTTTGCAGCAGACTACGCCTACATCTACCAAATTAATGCTTCCTTATACCTACAATTAAGCATCTGGATTTTGGTGGTGTTTGGTAAGATCGAATTTGATATCTGATTACTTGTAAAAAATCCTCCGAATTTCAAGAGAACAAAAAAATATCTGTGTGGTTCTACACTCTCAATAGCCAGAATTTCCTCTCTCTCTCTCTCTCTCTTTTTTCTTTTTTGATTTTCTATTCTCTGGATGCAGTTGGATTTTTTGAAAATCTAAATGCTATAATATCTGAAAGACATCTGAATTCACGTGTTTTTGATTTTTTTTTTCTGATAAAAAGGAAAAGAAAAAGATCGTAAAATTCAACAGTTTGGATGAATCATGCTCGAGAATACCTGTTTATGATTGGGCTCGGTTTTACAATGCTTTCTTTGGACAGGGTCTATTCAAATTTTGACATTGACACATGAACACTATGTTTTTGTTTTTCTTATTTTTGATAATGCATCATTAACAAAAAAAAATAAAAAAAAAATTCTTTTTAGTGAACTTCAACGTGTTGATTATGGAAACACAGCCCTTGACTCCTACAAAAGGATCTAATTTTGAGCTTTTCTCTCTTCTGTTTTCAAAACGGAAAATTTGATATGATGATGCTCTTGGTTATTTCAAATTTCTCGCATTCTGTAGTAGATTCAAAATGGGCCCCATAAAGAGAAAGGCATGTTTCTAATTTTTCTAAGGTTCAGTTTGAAATATGTATAGTATAAATAAATACAAGATAATATAAAATACAAGATTTTGCACTCTACATATTTGTATTTGTACACCTTCCAAATGGAGCCTATTTGCACTCTATATATTTGTATTTATATTCCTTTTAAACTGAGCTTAAATAAATTTTGTTTTGTTGCTTTCAGAAACCAGAATAATAGAACTCATTTTTTTGCATTTTCTTTGAGGGATGACTCGGCCCATGAAAACAGGAAAATTGAATTAACCATGCTTTGAATGTAATAGTACATAGGGAATATCACCACAGGAAAGTAGCTCGTAGGTAGCAGATCCGAGCCCACAATAATGAGGAGTTGTAAATGCCGCAAAATCGAAACCAAATTGATGCTTGGTTCTATTTTGGCTACCTGATGGAAATGCTAGGCTATTCTCCAATCTCCACTATATGTGAGGAAGAGGCTTACTGATTTGGATGTTTCTATTTCGTGGTTCACGGAGAAAGCAATATGACTAATGGCAGGGCGGTCACGGTCAGATCAGCTATCGACACATGATCCAACAACATCCCAAGCTGCCGTTGCAGCCACACATTAAATATCTTACCATGAATCCCAAGAAATATTTCCAATATGGGGCTGCATGGGCCTGTTGGGACAGTGTTGGAAGTGTTGGTGGTTGCAGATTCATACCCAATGGAAGGAGGTATGCGTTTTATCTACCCGTGATAGAATGATGGGCCTCCAACTCGAATCTGCGTTTCTGTTCTTTGTCGTTTTATTGACTATATAAAAGGGGAAAAGCTCGTTTTTTGATCCATTTATCTTGATTTTTATTTTGTTTATTTAAATCTTTGAGTTGGCAAGAAATCAAGGAGTGGTTAATGAGATGACATGATTTTTTTAAGCTATTTCAGATAAAGAGATATATGAACGATAGTATATTTTTAAGGAGTACAAATACAAATTTATAGAGTACAAAATCTTACATTTTATATTTTGTATGTATATATTTGTATTTATACTCCTTCCAAATTGAGATAAATTAAAGGAGAGAGAATTTGCCATTTGGTATTTGATTGGCTGGAAGGTGGAATTTCCATTTTTCCTTGAGCTCTATTTCTTTATTCTACATACAGAAAGAGGAAGAAAATATCTCATCCCACACTGGTAAAAACTTTGTTTTGCATCATTCAAACAAATAAATGAAGAAAAACTGTAATGTTGTGTTTGGATGTAAAGAAGAATTTAAATTGAAAGAAATTGACTTTCCTTGGTTTTGCCCCCACAAAAATAACAAATTGGAAAACAAGTTTACACAAAATAGGAAGGTGCAATTTCTCTTTGATGTATATTGTTTTCTCTCTCGGAAAGCTAAAAGAAAAGTGAAAACCAATAATGGAGAGTGAGGGGAATCTCCTTTTTTGTATTTTATTTTATTTTTTCATTTTTCTTCTCGTTTTATTCACAACCAAACACAATGACGATTGGCCTTGCCGCTGGGACCCATGGACAGATGGACTCAATGATTTGTAGTTGGAGAGATCAATATAGAACTAGACGTAGCTTAATCTTGTGAGTGTAATAGTTCTTAACAAAATGATTTTAAGCGTGGATGCATGGTCTTTTCTTTTCTACTGTTTATCTTTGTTATCAAAATATGTCCTTCAATGTAGACCTGTTCATGGGCCGGGTAGCCCGACGGCCCGGCCCGCACCCCGGCCAGGCTTGGTCATATAATTAGGCCCGCGGGCCTGACCTCGGGCTTAACACAGTAAGCCTGACTGTGTTTCGGGCCGGGCTCGGGATTTGTCAAAAAAGCCCGGCCCGACTCAGTATTATATATTTTATAAAATATATAATATGTATTTTATATATTATATAAAATATATAAATAATATAATATTTATTAAAATATATGTTTATAATTTAATATGTATATATATATATATATATTATTTTTTTTTATAATTTCAATCTATCTCTCTCTTTATTCAGCTGCTTCAACATTAATAATAATAATAATATAGGCTAAATTTCGGGCCCGGGCTCAGGCTCGGGCTTCGGGCTTTTTATGAGGGCCGGGCTCGGGCTCGAGCCTTAAAAAAATTTGTTAATACATAGTAAAAGCCTGGCCCGGCCCGGCCCATGAACAGGTCTACTTCGATGGATAGAATGTTAAATTTGTGAGACTTTAGCCCATAACTTGACCCATTATTGGCCCATTCGTATGATCAATTATTCTCTTAAAAAGGAGAAATCTTCCTATATAAATGATTATTTATCCAAAAACCAATGAAGCCAAACATACACGTGTATTGTGAAGGGTGGGAGTCAAATGTATTTATTTCCAAAGTAAATCTCATTATCATCATCCAAGCCAATTATAGGAGAGTCCGAATCACCTGCCAATAAAATACATTCCAACCCTCTACAAATATAATCTTATATCACACATCTCATACATGGTGGGTGGGACCCAGTCTCATGGTTAAAACAGGTCCCTTTGGATGATTACAGAGATATCTATCTATCTATCTATCTATCTATCTATCTATCTATCTATCTATCTATGCTATATTATAAAGTGATTGGGTCCCACATCAGCAGCCCTCTTTTTCTCCCATTCCCCCATTCTCTCTTCTCTCCTTAAACCTCTCTCCTTTCTCCCTTACCCCTTCTAACATTTTCATGTAGCCACGTGACAACCCTCTCTTCTACACTAGAGTGCCACTCCAATTCTTTCTCTAGACCTGGCAATTGGGTTGGGTGGATCAGGTTCGGGTTGGGTCAAGGTATTTTGGGGCAAATGCTAGACCCTAACCTTAAATGTTCGGGTTGGGTTTGACCCATGGGTCAATTTGGGTCATCCCAAAAAATAATTGAATTTAAAAAAAATAAAGAAAAATTACATGAAAAAAGTCAAAATTAAAAGAATTAACCTCAAAATTCTAAATATAAAATAAAAAACTTGAACATTTAACAATTTAAAGAGTAAACAATAAAAAGTAAATACTAAATAGAAAAAAAATTAAAGAGTGGAAACTTCTAACAATGCAAAAATAATCCCAATTAGACTTGATAATCGGGTCAATGGGTTGACCCATGACCCAACCCAACCCAACCCAACCCAGTTTTTTCTGGTCAGGTCATTTTCACATTCGAGTAGCTGAATATGAGACCCTAACCCTGTTTTTTCGGGTTGGGTTGGGTCGGATTTGCGGGCTGGTCAACTTTTTGCCAGGTCTATCTCTCTCTCATGTTCTCAATCACTTAGCCAACCCCCTCCTAAAATTTCTCCTAAACAATCTCTCCCATATTAAATTCCTCGTAAAACACCTCTTGATGTGTATTATAAACCATCTAAAAACCAAAAACATGGGTAAACTAATTTGGATAGTTAAATTAAATTGTGAAA